GGCGTCGGGTGGCGAGGGGGGTGAGGGCTTCGAGTCGCCGGGCGGCTCGTCGCGCCGGGGCGGGCGTTGGAGTGACGCTTCGCCCTGATGACGGGCGCGAGGCGTGGCCTTGTCGATAAATGTTGATTTCATTGCCCACCGATGCGTGCGCGTCGTGCGCCCTGCCGCAGCGCCCCGGCGGCCCTGACTAAGCTGGCTTGACCGCAGCCACTGGCATGCCCGAGTGACCGACCCCGGTGACACACCTGTGTTCGAATTTGAATCGTGATGGCCAGCGGGCGCAAGATTTCGTTGCAATCATTTAACGGGCGCATGAGCATGTGAGCGGTTGACGCCAAGCCCTGTTGATCTTGTGTGCCCTTGAGCACCCCGGACAGCACCCAGTCAGTCACCTGCGGAAGAAAGTGGTTCAAACTGGCGAGAAGTGACAGCGCGAACGCTTCAGAACCAGCAGGGCAGTTTTGTGTGTGCTCCGCAGCAAAAATCGTAGCGCAACAGGTGTGGGGTGAGGGCCTGTCAGATTGGGGGTGCGTGGAACTGACTGGGGACGGAATGGGTGACGTGCCCGAAAGCATGTTGGTGCTGCAAGGGGCCACTGAGTCATCACCTTGCCCGCCATGCCCGGGGCGCCCGCGGCCGGCCACGGCGCTGCCCTAGAGCCCCAAGCGATGGGAGCTTTCCTCTTGAGGTGAGGCAGCTGGCTTCAGATAGGGGGGCCTTTTGTGAGTCTGCAAGCTCACAGTGTGGAGTGCCGTATGCAGTTCTGCTGTTCACGGTGTGAAGGCAGGGGCCATGCATCTGCTCTCAGCCACGGGAGCAGGCACAGCAGCATGACCCTGCATTGAGACTTCGGCTATGTTCGGGTCCTACAGCGATGCAAGTCGTCGGAAGATCGCACTTCAGTTGGGACATAATTTGGCAGGCCCCGTTGACGACCCCGGGAGGCGACCCCGTGCAGTCGAGAGCGCATCATAGTTTTACCTCATTGCTGCAGCCCGCTGGTGCGGTCACTCGTGCCCACCGTGCCAGCCGCGGCGCCGCGCGCGGGCCCCACCGGCTCATGACCCAGCAGGAGCGCTCCTGCCGGCCGCTCGCTGCTCCTGCAGATGCGTGAATTAGGACCACGCCTGGCATCAAGCCTTGCGCCAAGCCTGGGGGGCGAGGTGAGCTGCATGATGGAGCCGCGAGCGCGCCAAGGTCAGGTGCTTTCGGTCACATCGCGCTGAGGGTCGGCCTGACCCCTGCAGCGGCACGCTTGGCAGCCTTGCAACCCATCCTCTTGCCCATGCGCCTGGATAAAAGATGGCGCCGCATTTCTGGCAGGTCGGGTCATCCCATGCGCGGGCGCCTGGGATGGCGGAGGAGCGCGCCCACGCAGCATTGGCCTCCGACCTGGCCAGCCTATACGACGCCGCCGCCCGCGCCGCGCGCTCCGCCCGCGCCGCGGCGGCCGTGTCAGAGGCCAGCGCGGCGGCCGCCGCGGGCACCGGCGGCCTCTGCAGCTCGCTCGTGTTTGTGCTAATCGCGCACGGCGGCGCGGACGCGGCCGAGGACGCGGCGGCCGCGCTTGATCACATAGTGGCCGCCGGCCCCTCCTCGGCCGAGGCCGTCGCCGGCACGCCGGGCGCAGTGACCGCGCTCGCCAGCGCCGCACGCGGCCACGCGGGCCCCGGCGCCGCCGGCCCAGCCGCGCGCGCGCTGGCCGGCCTGCTGCCGCACTGCCCTGGTTTCGCGGACGATGCGCTGGCCGAGGCGGTCGCCAGCGGCGGCGCGGCCGCCGCGGCCGCGTCGGCCGCGCTGCGCGCGGCGCTCGGCGAAAAGCGCGTGCCCGTCGGCTGCGTCGGGCGCGCGCTGCGGCGGGCGCTGCTCGGCGTGATTGGCGCGGGGCGCAGCAGCGGCGGCGGCGGCGTCATGGCCGGCGGTGTGGCGGCGGATGCGGCGGCAGCGTTGAGCATTCTCGCGGCGGCTGGGGAGGACGTATCAGAAGAGATAGGGGCGCTCGACGCCTTGGCCGACGCCGTCGCCGCCCTCGGCCCCGCCGCCGGCCACGCGGCGCGCGCGCTCGCGCACACCGCGCTCCTCAGCGCGGGCCACGCCGCAGCCGTGGCGCTCCGCGCGCTCTCGCCGCTCGCCGCCGCGGCGCGGGGCGCGCGCGCCACCGGGGACTACGTTTGCTATGACGACGCTCCCGCGGGCGGCGGCGACGGCGACGAGCCGGCGGCGGCGACGTGCGCGTTCGAGGCAATGTGCGCGGTCGCGTCGCAAGGCGCCGACGCGGCGACGCTGGTGGCCGAGTCGCCAGAGGCCCTAGACGCGCTCGGCAGCCGCCTCCACCCGCGCGGCGAGGCGGCGCGCGCCGCGGCGTGGGCGCTGCGGGACGTGGCCGACGCCGGCGGCGGGCGCGCGGCGCGGCTGCTGGCGGGCGCGCCGGGGCTCCTGGCTGCGCTGGCGAGGGTGGAGTGGGAGGGGGACAAGGGGGTGCGGGGGGCCTCGAAGGCCGCCGAGTCAGCGCTGGCTCAGATCGAGCGTAGGGGCGGCCCCGGCGTCGCCGCCGCCGTCGCAGACGCGCGCGGCTGCTGCGTTTCGACTGGCGAGGCGCTCGGCGCGAGCGACAGCAGCGAGTGCGGCGGCGACGAGGACGGCGATGTTGGCCGGTGGGGCGCGTGCGGCGGCGGCAGCGGTGCCGGCAGCTGCGGCGACGACAGCGCCAGCGGGGACGGCGGCGTCGGCTTGGACGCTATCCTTGGCACGCCCGCTGACGTGTTGGCCGAGGTGTCTCGGCTCGTCGCGG